ATAGTAGTTCTAAAATCTTGTTCAGTTATGTTGCTTGTATCTGTTTTGAGCAGTTCTTTAGCTGTCAGTTCTTCCTGGAATTTCTTTGGAAGCGAGCTCTTTCGTTTCGTCATTTTGGTTAGCTTTCTATATCTTGTTAGTTTTAAAAGTTGTTATGCTCTCTGCACCTCTGAGTGCTGCTGCACCAAAGAAGGCTCTTTGACTGTTCAGGGCCTGTCCGTTCAGAACGTATTCTTTGAATGGTATCTCTTGGTCTCTTTTGTTGAGACCTTGGTTATTTTTTTTTCCTACTCGTAGTGGCATTTGGGATTCTCCACCATGTGTGCTTTGACTTGTTTCTTGAGGTAGCCCTGGAGAAGAAAACAGACAGACAAACACACACAGAACAAAGGCACACAAATGGCCAGACAAATCCAACAAACACACAAACTGAAAGGAAAAACGAAAAAGTAAAGAGAAAAGAGGTAGGAGGGAAGGTGAATAATAAAAAATAAAAATACATAAAAAAAGGAAAGGAAAGGAAAAAGAGAAGAAACCCAAAAGACAAAGAACAGTTTAAAGCATATAACCAGACTTCCCAGCTACAAATAAATTGCCGGGTATATGCAGTACTGGTGGAAGAGCAAAGAAAGAGAGAAATGACAGGGTGGGGATGAGGCAAAATTGGAAATGAAATGAGCAGGCAGAAGGAATAAGAAGCTTTTTTCAAAGAGCGAAAGAGTGGAATATGGTTGAAGAGGCGAAAGAAATGATGATGGTGTTATCCAGAGAAACTATATAGTTTGATTACTCCAGAGAGAAAGAGATGAAAAGGTAGGTAGGTATAGAATTTACATATAGAAAATGGATTAAATGTGACTGTTTAAGCAAGCCAGTGACCAGAATTAATCAGGGCAGTGCATCCATGTTGGTCTTGCTTCAGTAAAAAAAAAAAGAAAAAAAGGAAGAGGGCAGCTCTCTAGCAGTGATGGGCGTGGGATCCAGTGCGTCCCGCGGGAGTCCTATTTTGGTGGGTATGGGAGAAGAGTGGTGGCACTCCAGTCCCTTCTTGAACCAAGCGCTGCAACTCACGTTTTTGGGTGTGTAAACTCCCTGTGCCAGGGACTCAGCCAAGGTGGCCTGTGCTCTATATCCCAGGCCAGGCCTCATTTCCAGATCCTAGTCTGAGCGCCCAATTGAAATTGCCGGAAACAAACTCGCAGGGGATCCCCTCAGAGCAGTCCCGAGCCTCTTGCCTTCCCCCTGGGGATTGAGCCAGAAGCTGCTGCTCCCGTCTCCTCCAGGTCGGGTTGGCGATTGAGGAGCAGTTTCATCTGGGGGTCGCCTGGGACAAGTGCGTCCCGCCCAGGGTCAGCTGGAGAGCAGGAAACCAGGTCCCTCTGTGTCTCCTTGCCTGAAACACGAACTCGTGGGCAAATCTCCCAGCTTTAAGCCCTTCGCCTCCCCTCTAGGGATCCAGCCGAGCCAGAAGCCCAAAGATGTGGCTGCCGCGTCCCCTCCAGTTCGAGCTGGCACGCAGGGAGCAGTTTTCCCGGGGTTCGCCTGGGACGAGTGCGTCCCGCCTAGGGTCAGCTGGAGAGCAGGAAACTGGGTCCCTCTGTGTCCAAAAGCAGAGGTTTTTCTGTTCCCCAGCGACAGGGACAGTGTCTTGAGCAGTTTTGGCCAGTATTTTTCCTCTCTAAACTCCCCGCAGAGGGGAATCGCCCCTATCCCTCTGTGTCTCTGGTCCCAGCCTGATTTTATCTTCCCCAGTTCGCACTCACGCTAGAAAGTTTTCTCAGCGGACTCTGTCTCCTTTTCCTCCCAAACTCTTGGATTCTGTAAGGGTTCCTATGGCTTCAGGCCTTCTCCATGTGAGATATGGGGGCGAGTGCAATGTGCGGAGTTCCCTACTTCTCCGCCATCTTGCCCCCCGGGACTGTCCCTTCTCTGAATTTTTTTTTTTTTATGTTTACTTTTTTGAGAGAGTGAGCACCAGCAGGGGAGGGACAGATTGTCTCTTGAATCCCTAGCAGGCTCCACACTGTCAGTGCAGAGCCTGACACAGGGCTCGATCCCAAGACCCACAAGATCATGACCTGAGCCAAAATCAAGAATCGGATGTTTAACCAACTGAGCCAGAAGGTGCCCTGATTTTTTAGTTTATAATTATGTTGTTAGTAGTGGTAGTATTTTCATTAAAGTCATACATATATATAAATCAAACGGCATATAAGATTTAATGTTCTGTAATGTGAGCCACACGTGTAATTTAAAAGTTTTCTAGGAGCTGTGTTAAAAAGAAACAGAGCCACCTGGGTGGTTCAGTCGGTTAAGTGTCCAACTTCGATTCAGGTCATGATCTCATGGTTCGTGGGTTCAAGCCTGCGTAGGATTCTCTCCTGTCAGCACAGATCTCACTTCTGATCCTCTGTCCCCGTCTGTCTTTGCCCCTCCCCTGCTGGATTCTCCTCTCTCTCCCTCTCTCTCCCTCCAAGATAAATAAACTTAAAAACAAACAGAAGAAAGATTAATTTTAATAATTGTTTAAAGTTTATTTATCTTGAGAAAGACAGTGACAGCACAAATGGGAGAGGGTCAGAAAGAGAGAGGGAGAGAGAGAATCCCAAGCAGGCTTCACACTGCCAGCACAGGGTCTTGAACTCAAGAAACTCCATATTGCCTGGCCCACCTAATGACTTGGACTGAATTGTTTGGGACTGTTTTAGAACTTTCCCTCTATCATGATGCAGAAGGAGTGATATTCACAAAAAATCAGAATATATTATTAGGAGGAAGATACAGCCAGGATAAGATAACAGATTACAAATACTGAAATACAAATTTCTGAATACAAATACTGAAATAAAAATTTCAAAAGATTAAAGTGAGACTTTGCAGAAAAATAGAAAAAATATGCAGAGACAGCAAAAGATACACAAAAAACCAATTCTGACTATTGGGAATCCTAGAAAGAAGAAAACGGAGAAGCAAAAATATGTGAAAGAGAATTTCCCAGAAATAAACATTTGAAAGAGTCCACTGAAGGCCCAGCACACTGACTGACCGTACCCACCCAAAGACTGATGTATCAGAATATATTTCCTAGTAAAATTCTAGAATATTAAGGGAGAGAAGAGCATAAATGTTTCCAAAAAGCAAAACAGAACCATATTGTCTATACAGCTTTTGACACACACACACACACACACACACACACATGAGAAGCCATTGTTGAGCTTTGTGGTTAATGTTTAATTAGTAATTTCTTCATCCCTAATTTCTGCCATTTCTCCATAGATTTTGAACTAATAATTCTTATACAATCTCAAAAACTTTACAACATTTGAAATTAAAGTATGTTAGGGTACCTGGGTGGCTCATTCATTTAAGTGTCCAACTCTTGGTTTTGGCTCAGGTCCTGATGTCATGGTGTTGTAAGATCGAGCCCTGTGTCAGGCCCTGTGCTGATAGTGCAGAGCCTGCTTGGGATTCTCTGTCTCTCCCTCTATTCCTCCCTCTCTGTCTGCCACTCCTTCACTTGTGTGTGTGCATTTTCTCTCAAGCATTTATATATATATTTTTTTTATTGAAATACTGTACTGAAATACTGATATATTTCATCTATACAATTGGAAACAAATTTAGTATTAAGTAGTAAATAGCATAACTTTATATTTACGTTTTTATTTTTATTTGTGTATTACATACGTCTATATGTTAACTTTTATAGATATTACATACTGTATTTCATCAACTCTAAGATGATATAAGAATCACTATTATTTTGGGGCGCCTGGGTGGCTTAGTCGGTTAAGCGTCCGACTTTTGCTTAGGTCATGATCTCGCGGTTCGTGGGTTCGAGCCCCGCGTCGGGCTCTGTGCTGACTGCCAGCTCAGAGCCTGGAGCCTGTTTCAGTCTGTGACTCCCTCTCTCTCTGACCCTCCCCTGCTCACACTCTCTATCTCTCCTAGAAATAAAAAAAATTAAAAAAATTAAAAAAAAAATCACTATTATTTTAGGACGCTTTAAAAACATTGCAGATTAATTTATGACATTGAAAGGTAGACTTCTTAGATGTTAAATGTGGATCTTTGAATACATAAAATATGCTTAGTGTATGATACTGTGCAGTAGGTTCATTGTCTTCAGTAGAGGCTTCAGTTTCCTAATTCATTTTACACCTGTAGAGATTAAAAATTAGCTTTTTATCAAAAATGTGTGTCTTCTAGGGGTGCCTGGGTGGCTCAGTTGGTTAAGCATCCGACTTCGGCTCAGGTCATGATCTCACAGTTCGTGGGTTCGAGCCCCGCGTCGGGCTCTGTGCTGACAGCCAGCTCAGAGCCTGGAGCCTCTTTCAGATTCTGTATCCCCCTCTCTCTCTGACCCTCCCCTGCTCATGCTGTCTCTTTCCCTCTCTCAGAAATAATAAAACATTAAAAAAAGTTAAAAAAAAAAAAAAGTGTGTCTTCTATTTGGAGATGGCAGTTCAGGGAACTATCTTTAGGAAATTAAGTATTTAAATATATCTGACCAAAAAAATACCATATATATGTATACACCACAGTGTTACTCATTGTGTTCATGTCTATATGAATGGAATTATGGGTATTTTTAAGTGTTTTTCCTTTTGCTAGTCTTTATTTTGTGACTTATCTGTAATAAGCTTTGTAATTCTTATCTATTTTTAAAGCAGTAATTTAAGGAAAGGGGAAAAGAAAAGCAAAAATCTTGTTTTCAAATCTGAGATAAACCATTCCAAAGAACAAAGAACTATGGTACAAATCATCCTTTACTCTGTATGTTAAGTACTGCTTTTATTTTGAGGATTTCTCTTTCTTGGCATATGTGTGAAGGAAGTAATTATATACAAGGATTTAATTAAATATGTTTATACCAAGAATTAATGGAGCATAGATCCATTAGGTATTTAACCATCTATGTCTGATGTGGGAGTTTAGGAAAGGAAAACTGTGGTACCTAAAATTTGTTATGTTTTCTTTTTTTCCACTTTGACCAGGATTATAACCAAATCAGATGTGTGAACAATTACAGAGAAGAGGGGGGCCATTGGTCTCACTCAGAATGTCCTGCCTTCTGCAGCTCTGTTTTAGAAGACCAAGAGGGTGTAACTTACCAGACTGAATATTTCTGGGGATGATATGACTATCTGGGCATGCATTTTCATGTCGATCCAGATGGGACTGGAAACAGCCATTCAGTTTTTTGAAACTCACTGGACAGTATGGATTTACTGGAATTATTACAGTCCTCATGCCCATTGGTTGTCATTATCTTGCAGATGTGTCAGGAAAATGTGCAAATACGGCAGTGACTGTACAACTGGCACACAGCATTTATTAATCCTGAAGAAAAGTATATGTACTATTTTTCAGTATGATTATCATGGATATGCTAGAACTATTTCTCAAAAACAAACCTTTTTAATACTTTTGTGTGAATTTATTTAACAAAGCTGTTTTGTCTGTCGTATCTAAGAAAAGTTCTAAAAGTTAGGTATTTAATTGTAAATACGTGAGGAAACTCTTAATGAAGAATCCAGAATAAAAATAGAAAAAGCACAGGTACCTGGGAATTCAGATGTTAAGATACATGGGAAAATGTTAAGTTGATGAGTGAACTTGTGTGACAGCAGTAGCATTTTAAATTTCTAAAGACTTATCCTGTATATATATAAAATATACAGTGCATCAATTTTTATAAGTTTTTGATTTTATTAATATTAGATATAGTCTCAGCCTTAATTCTACATTTTCATTATTTTGTAATTTTTTATTACTATTTTTAAAGGGTTAAAGAAGTACACTCCCACATTAATGTAATAATAGTCTACTAGAAAGTTGCTGCAGCAATGTTCAAATTGTGTATTAATTCAGGCTAATGTATGTCAATATATATGTCTTTGTGTAAGTCCAGGACTATTGGTCTGTGAAGTTATTTTGTAAGGAAATGCTTTTGGTACAGTTTTGTGTATCAGGAAATGTGTGTGTTTTTTAATCCTTTCTGAATATACAGTAAGGTTAATAAAGAGGATTGTTTCTTCCCTATTAAATAGATAAGTGTTTTCCTTTTTTAACATTGAAAAGTCTATAAAAGTTAGTAAAACAAAACTAGAGGCATCACGATTCTGGACTTCAAGCTATATTAAAGCTATAGTCATCAAGACAGTATGGTACTGACACAAAAACACACGTAGATCAATGGAAGAAAATAGAAAACCCAGAAATGGACTCACAACTATATGGTTAACTAATCTTTGACAAAGTAGGAAAGAATATCCAGTGGGAAAAAGAGACTCTTCAAATGGTTTTGGGAAAACTGGACACCAACATGCAGAAGAATGAAACTGGACCACTTTCTTAACCATGTACACAAAAATCAAGATGGATAAAAGACCTAAATGTGAGACAGGAAACAAAACCCTAGAGGAGAACACAGGCAACAACATCTTTGACCTTGGCCAGAGCAAATTCTTATTAGACACATCACCAAAGGCAAGGGAAACAAAAAACTGAACTATAGGGACTTCAAAAAAGACAAAAAGCTTCTGCACGGTGAAGGAAACAATCAACAAAACTAAAAGGCAGCCTATAGATTGGGAGAAGATATTTGCAAACAGTATATCTGATAAAGAGTATCCAAAATCTATAAAGAACTTAACCAAACTCAACACCCAAAACCAAATAATCCAGTTAAGAAATGGACGGAAGACATGAATAGAGATTTTTCCAGAGAAGACCTCCAGATGGCTAACATCTGAAAAGATGCTCAACATCACTCATCATCAGGGAAATACAAATCAAAACCATGATGATATACCACCTAACACCTATCAGAATGGTTAAAATTAACACAAGAAGCAACAGATGTTGGTGAGGAGGCAGAGAAAAGGAAGCCCTCTAGCACTATTGGTAGGAATACAAACTGGTGCAGAATGGAGGTTCCTCAAAAAGTCAGAAACAGAACTACTCTCCCATCCAGCAATTGTACTAGGTATTTACCCAAAGGATACAAAAATACAGATTTGAGGGGGCACATGCACCCCGATGTTTATAACCGCATTATCAACATTAGCCAAACTATGAAGAGAGCCCAAGTGTCCATTAACTGATGAATAAAGAAGATGTGGTATAGGGGCGTCCGGGTGGCTCAGTCAGTTAAGCATCCAACTTCAGCTCAGGTCTGATCTCCTCGTTCATGGGTTCAAGCACCACATCAGGCTCTGTGCTGACACTCAGAGCCTGGAGCCTGCTTCCAATTCTGTGTCTTTCTCTCTCTGACTCTTCCCCCACTTGTACTCTGTCTCTCTCTCTCTCAAAAATAAACATTAAAAAAACCTTTTAAGTAGTTGTATATATAGACTGTGGAATATTACTCAGCCATCACAAAGAATGAAATTTTGCCATTTACAATGACATGGATGGAGCTAGTGTTTTATGCTAAGCGAAATAAACCAAATACAAATACCATATGATTTCACTCATGTGGAATTTAAGAAAGAAAACAACATATAGAGCAAGGGGAGAGGGAAACAGACCGTAAGAGACTCTTAATAGAGAACAAATAGGGTTGATGGAGGGAAGTAGGTGGGGGTGGGTTAGATGAGTGATGGGTATTAAGGAGGGCACTTGTGATGAATCACTGAATTCTGAAACCAATACTGTATTGTATGTTAACTGACTAGAATTCAAATAAAATTTTGAAGAAAAAAATACAAGAAAGTTACCTTTGTAAAAACTGTTAGGATATTTATCTTTATAATGGGAAGTTATTTTAACTGTTTTGTTGAAGAAGGAAACGAAGGGGGCAATGATTTAGGAAAAATGGATTCCTTTCAAAGTGACACTAGTTCTTACTAGTTAAGTGTTAGTTTAAAAAGAGTTCCATCTTCTAAATTTTTATACTTTATAACTTGGTTACTTAAAGTCATGAAATGGGTAAGATTAATTCTGTAATACTTCCGGTATATAATTTTCAAATAATACCTGTTAGTAAAAAGTTTGTATTTGTATCCATTTTATATTGTCAGAAATGTCTTCAGTTATATTAGCTAAACATTTTCATGGAATCCTCTCTTCCTAGGACTTCATGACCATGTAATTATATTTGTAAAATATACATGTTAACTTGTGTGGTTTTTTTTTTTTTTTTTTGCATGTCTGTTGAACACATAGTGTTGCTTATGACTTCAAATTTTAAGTTACTACTTGCTTTTAGCATGTATGTGCTTAGATTCAGGGATAGGTAGCAACATTAAAATTCATTATAGGACATCTGGCCTTAAAATACTAATTATCTTAAATATAAGGTAAAGTTTCTCCAAATCTGGTTTGTGCAAGCAGTTATTTTTGGATTCATCAATAACCTAAGTGTCTGAAGATATTTTCCTATTTGAAATTAATTCCTTTTTGGAGAGTAATCAAATTGGTGTTAAAGAATCACCTATCTCAGTGTCAAGCAATTCATAGTATAAACAGACATAATATTTTCATGTTAGGAAGCTTAAATTTAAAATAATGTCCAGTAATATAAAATAGATTTCTAGTATTCTGATTCTTTACACCGTGCCCCAGTAAACAAACATGGAATAGAAAACATTAGTAATCATATCTCCATAAAGCACTTTATTTCAATCTTTGCTAATGACATTTGCTTACATCTGCTTTTCTTGTTTCTCCCCTACTCTGAATTTTATTTTTTAATTCCTGAGAGAAATGGAACATTGTATTTCATTTTTCTATATTTTTATTTTTAGTGGGAATAAAGAATTGTGTGCCTTGATTATTTGATAGTCCATTGGGCAATATTTTTTCTTTTTTTTAATTTTAAAGTGTGAGTGGGGGAGAGGGGCAGGGGAAGAGAGAAAGAATCTTAAGCAGGCTCCACACTCAGCACAGCCCAACACCAGGCTCAACGCCACAACCCTGGATCATGACCTGAGCCACAATCAAGAGACAGATGCTCAAACTGACTAATCCACCCAGGTGGATTACTCAGCATTATATTGGAGGTTCTAAGTATGGCAACTGAGCAAGAAAAAAAGTCATACAAATTGTAAAGGAAGAAGTGGAACCATCTTTGTTTGCATATGACATGATCTTGCCTATAGAAAGACCTAAATGATCTGCTAAAAAAATACATGAATTGATCAAGTTTGCAGATACAAGATCAATATACAAGATCAGTTAAATATCTATACACCTGCAATGAACAATCCCCAAACTAAAACAGTCTCCCAGTAGCATCAAAAAGAATGAAACATTTAGGATAAACTTAGCAAAGGAAGTGCAAAATGTGTACTTTGAAAAGTATAAAATATTGTTAAAAGATGAAAATAAATGAAAAATCTCATTGGTGGGTGGGAAGAATTGACTGTTAAGTTGACAGTACTCAAACTAATTTACAGGTTCAACACAATCCTTATTAGATTCCAGCTGACTTCTTGAGCAAATTAAAAGTTTATTCTGCAATATGGAATTGCAACACAAAATAGCTAAAGCAATACTGAAAAAAGAACAGAGGAAGACTCACACTTCCCAAATAACTAGAAAAGCAGCAATAATCAAGACAATGTGATACTAGCACAAAGATAGATATATGACTGAATGGAAGAGAATTGGAAGTTCAGAAATAAACTTATGCTTCTATGGTCAGCTAATTTTTCAGCAAGGATGTCAAGACCAACCAAAGGGGAAACAACAGTCTTTTTGACAAAGGGTGCTGAGACAACTGGATAGCCACATACAAAAGAATTACACTGGACCTTTATCTGATACCATGAGCTAGACTTAGCTCAAAATGGACCAAAGACCTAAATATAAGAACAAAAATAAATCCAAAGAAGGAAAGATAAGGATAAATCTTAATGATATAGGATTTGGCAAAGAATTCTTAGGCATGCCACCTAGAGCAACAACAGGAAATAAGATAAATTGGACCATCAAAATTAGAGTGTTGTTGCTTCAAAGGAAACTGTCAAAGAGAAGCGACAACCACTTAGAATGAGAGAAAATGTGTACAAATCACATATCTGAAAGGAGCTTATATCTACAATATTCTTAAAAACTCTTACAACTCAATAAAAATGGAAATAAAAACAGTAGGGTGTTTGCATGAAAATAGATTAATGGAACAGGAAATAAGCCCATGCGTACATGGTCAATTTATGATGAAAGAGCCAAGAATATACAGTAGGAAAAAGACAGTCTCTTCAATAAATGGTGTTGGGAAACCGGGCCAGCCACCATACACAAAAATTAATTCAAAATTGAGTAAAGACTTGAAGATAAGACCTGAAATTTAAAACTCCCAGAAGAAAACAGGTGGTAAGCTTCTTGACATCAGTCTTGGCAATTTTTTTTGGTTTTTTTTGGACCAAAGACAAGGAAAGCTTAAATAAACAGGACTATATCAATCTAAAAATCTTCTGCACAAGAAAGGAAACCAGCCATAAAATAAAAAGGTAACCTACTGAATGGGAGAAGATAATTACAAATCATATATCCAGTAAGGTGTTTATATCTGAAATATATATTTAAAAAACTACTCAATAATAAAAACAATCCTATTAAAAAATAGGCAGAGGATCTGAATAAACATTTTTCCAAAGAAAAGATAGAGATGGACAATAGGCACATGAAAAGGTACTCAACATCACTAATCATCAAGGGAATGCAAATCACAATCACAATGAGGTACCACCTCACACCTGTCACAATGGCTATTATCAAAGGAAAAAAAAGTGTTGAGGATGTTCGAAAAAGGAACCCTTGTTCACTATTGGTGGAATTTAAATTGTTATACCCACTATGGAAAACACTATGGAGATTCCTCAAAAAATTAAAAATAAAAGTATCATATGATCCAGCAATTCCACTTCTGGTTATTTATCTGGAGAAAACTTACTAAAATAGTAACTCAAAAAGATATATGCACTCCCATGTTTATTGCAGCACTATTCACAAGGTATGAAAACAACTTAAGTGTCCATCTATGAATAAATTGATAAAGAAGTTGTGGTGTATATATATATACAAAGAAATACTAT